AACTGCACATGTGAAAACTTGGAGAGGCTTGCTATAAAATGTAGACAGTTGGATGAATTATCAAGTAAGAATACTATAAAATAAATAAATTGAAGAGATAAAATCTGAGAAAGCAAACAAGAATTAGAGCCATCTTGCTGAAGTCATAAAAGGAAATAGAAAACTATTATTTAAAAATGCCAGAGTAGGATATGTTATTAGAATTTTAAAAGTCAGGAAGTATGTAAATTATGTAGCAATTTTGGCTATGCCAGCACACTGTAAAATTCTTTTAACAGCTCCACAAATTGTACAAAGTGGCATATAATAAAAATATAACAAATTAATGAGAAACATAGAGTATCTTTGTCAACTTTATTATACAATGCCTATCTATTCGATATTTTTTGCTAGATTTTTTTGAGTCCCTCTTATTTCTGGTAGCATAGCATAGCTACTGGATGTATTATAGCTAATTAAGCAGATAAAGAATGGATTTAAGTATAAAGGAAGTGAGTTATGTATTTTTTTGTTATCTTAGGCAGAAGGCAAATGTTCTACATATTACTAAGTTATATATTTTTAAAAAGTGTTTAAGTACTGAATATTTATTCTAAAACTTAGTAACAAGATATATAAAATAAATGTTGAGGGGCTCAACTATGCTAATTTATGGAAGCAAAGTTTCGCTTTAGTAACCATTTCTATCATTTGCAATTAAACATATCCTAATATAGTATAAATGCTTAAAATCTGCATGATATTCTATAATTTCATGGTATATAAGAATCTTCTGAACATAAGATAGTTTTTTAATGAATTTTTCTACCATTAAGGAATGCAATTTACTAGCTCTTTAGAAATGCTTGCACTGTTTTTATCCTTTTAAAATCACATACGCTGAAAATTCATAATGGTTTACGTTTAATTTTTAGATAGCAATATATACCTCATTCAGATTTTGATATATGACTTTGCTTTGATCGTGGTTATACATTTTCAAGACATACTGGAATTGGGATAGAAGTGTCAAATCATTCTCAAGAGTTGAGCAAATTGTATGACCTCATCTCATGAGTTCATGCAGCATTGAAACTAACGTATAAGATAATGTATTTTTCACCACTTCAACAAACCCAAGATCAATTACTTCTATATTAAATAGATACACAATTCTTTGAACTTTAATGTGTCAGTAATTCAAATTCAGCTTTCTATTCTTTCTGCCATTACCCCATTCACTACCATTATGCGATTCAGACGCACAGCAAACCTGGAGGACAGAGGAAAAGTGCTCCAATGGGGTTCCAAGGACTTAAATCTTCATGGAAACATACGCCCACAGAGCAGTTAGTGGATTTGAAGGGTCAATCTTAACGACTATGCCACAAGGGCTCCTTATTGTGGCATTACCACTACCCACTGCTGTGCTGCTGAGGCCAACTCACAGTTACCCTGTGTGATGGAGTCTCTCCGCCACTTTTCCAGGCAGTCAGTGTCACAGTCCTTAGACGGGGTGAGTCTTTTTTGTTCAAACTGCTGACTCTGTGCTTGGCAGCTCACCGAGCCCAGTGTTTAATCCAGTGAGACACAGGGACTTATTTTTCAAAAGAATGAAACACAGAAATTGAGTTAATTTCCATAATTGGTGCCTATAAGATAGTAACTTTTTTTTTTTTTGATAAGATGGTAACTTATTGATGCCAATAACATGGTAACTTACCTACCTTATTGATGCCAATAAGATGGTAACTTACCTACTTTGGCCTTTATCATTGGTATAAGTGATAAATTTGATGCACATATGACAGAAAAAAAAGCAAGAATTTGAATAACTTGTAAGGTTATAAACCTCATTTAGTAAATACCAAGGATGAAATAAATGAATAATTAATTCTAATGTTGACAACTTACAAGATTTTCAGAAAGCCAATTCTAGACATCCAATAATCAAACCTTTAAAAAAGAAAAACGTTTTTGAAGATGATTCTTCGAATGATATTCAAGAAAGAACATATAAAGGAATTCAATGGCACCAATGTTATAAAGATATAATGAATGGAGCATAGAATCTTTTTGACTTGGGTCACTATTAAATTTTTCTTCCAAGGTGAGGAGGGATGTGGAATCAAAAGGAAAAATAAACTTGAAGAAAGACTAAGCTGTTATAACAACAGCAGATAAGCCAGCGTTCACAGTGGTTAAAGAAAGAATGTGAGTGAAATACAGAAATCTTATGCTAATATCCACATAACCTGCTATATGAAATGCAGAAGACTGGAAAAATGAGAAATTTGAGACATGGAATGCTTAGTATACAGACAATATGCAAACTTTTCATGCTGAACATAGCATTGCAGTTTTACTTACTTTAAATTATTCAAAATATTGATTCCAAGCTTTGCTTCCTAAATTACCAGAGCTGCTTTAAATTAAGAGCGATGAGGTTATGAAAGTCTTTTTCTTAATGATAATTTGTAATAAAAGGAAGTGAGGTTGAAAGGCAAAATGTATTTAAATGTGGTTAACATTTGTGTGTGTAATCTACTGAAGAATAAACTGAAATTTCACTTGTGATTGCAATCTCTCCTCTCAAGGAAAATGTGCTTTTTGAAAGAGAGAACACATTCAATTTAATTTGCTTGAAAATTAAAGTATCTGAGTTTTAGGCACTTTTAGGTTACTTAAATTTCTCAGCATTTCAATTCCTGTTCATAAACCAAAGAGAAAAATAGTTTCACCTTTTAAAACATATCTACTTAACCATACACTTAAAACATATAAAATGTCAGAAAAAAGCTGTGATTTTTTATAGGAAATGTTATTATTTTATTTCACTATTCTGCTTTCATTTTACTGCAAATCCATTTAAATCCTATACTGAAAAGGATTATGACTGACTAAGGAGCCCTGGTGACATAGTGGTTACTCTTTGGCCGCTGCCCCCAGGTCTGCTGTGTGTAACCACCAGTGGCTCTGTGGGAGAAGAATGTGGCTTTCCACTCCAGTAGCATCTTGACAACCCAAGGGGGAGTTCTACCCTGTCCCCCAGAGTGGCTGTGAGTCGAAACAGACTCGATGGCAGTGATTATATGCATACTTATCATATACTCAAATTATTAAACTTTTGCCTTTCTTTTTGCCAAGCATGCTTAATATGTCCTATCAGTTGACACATAAAACTGGATTATTCTCTCTACATAGACAATTTTTGAACACCCATGTGGTGAACAGGACTCTGAATTATGGTCAATTCTTTAAATTCGTTTTTATTTTATTATTTTTTTAAAATTTTCATCCACAGTAAAATTTTCTGGATAGTACAATCAAGATAGTGTATTCATAGAAATAACATTAAAGAAGCTTGGTCATTATGATAGCAGTCATAATAACAACTCCCTTACCAAGGCATTCCACACACAGAGATAACAACAATAAATAAGTTTTCATTTATCATACAACAAAGAAAAACAAAATTTCAATTAAAATATGTTTTTTATAAATGTTCGTATACTAAAAATAAAACAAAAATATTCAATCATGCATTGCATACAAAATACGAAAGTGAAGAGTTAACAGGTTAAAAAAAAATCAAGCCAAAATTCTTTAAGCATTGTGAAAGCAAAAGAGATTTAAATAGAACGTTTTTAGGTAAAATCAAGTACGTTCCTAGCTTTAGAGGTCCGTGACCTAACCATCAATACTTTACATTATTAGAACATATACTGCCATCCTTTTAACCCTTTAAGGACCCAATTATTTACCTCCTTTGGATTTTTTATTGATACCATGTGTTTTTAGTAGCAGAAGCATATTGAATTGCTGAGTGTGTCTGAGTTTTTTGATAAGTAGTGCTGCTATTTTTCTTGCCTCATCCTTTAAAGTCTTGAGGGACATTTTTTTTCAGTCTGCCCTATAACTCTCCTAGAACCTATAAGGACAGGGGTCTCAAATAAAAATTGTCCAAATTTTTACTTGTCGTACTGAAAATTCAGACTCCTCAAGCAATACCCTGTACAAACCAGAGATAAATGCCTGCTTGTTCGGTTTCAAACAGTTATAGGCACACACCCTCCCAAAGGCTGCCTGTCACTTCCCAAGAAAATTGAGAGGTAGCATATACTGATGTAAAATCATAAGTCCCAAGGGTCATGAAAAGGTTAAAGGGCAGACCCTATTTTCATTGGATCCCTCTCAGATTACAAAGATGGAGTGGGATTTGTTCACCTTGATTGTAAATCAATAGGAATACTTAGGGGACAGTCAAAATCAAATCCCTCATACACTGGACTTTCTCAAGGACAGTCCAGTTTAAGATGCTGGCAAGAGTAGGGAGCTGGGCATTTGGAAACCAACTCTACTTCTGTTCCCATCACTGTGTGTGAAACATATTTTAAAAACTCATCTCATAAATATCTTTTAAGGTATTTCCCATTCCTGAAACAAAATGTCACTCGTGGCAATTTTGCTTGTAAGTGATAAACATCTGAACTAGCAAAAAACCAGAAAATAATAATTAAAAAAAAATGTAACATTTTTCAATGGTACTTACTTTAAAAGTATAAAAAAATATGGGATCACTTACTGGAACTAAGAATTGTACAATGCTTTCGTGGGGTTGTTACTACAAGCTAATATTTACTCCCCCAGCATAACTAAACGAAGCAGTGCCTTAATACTTTGTGGTTGAATAGCATATGATATTTAAACAGTGTCTACTTTCTAAATGAATAGGAAAGACATGTTTGTCATGAGAGTAAAAAAATAAAATTTGTCTGTTAAATTACACATAAATATAAGGTACAAATGTATTTTTAAAATACAGATTAAAATAATCACACTTGCATTGTGTACATACGAAAATACAGTATTTAATAGTCAATATACACAGACACATTTTTTGATAAATGCAACTATTTGGCAAGGCCAGTTCTCGCAGGGTTTATTCTGTTCCCTCTTTTTCCATCAAGATGGAAACGAAAACACTTCGCAAAAAAAACCTCTTCTAGCTCTGGCGGACATCTTGGAGCAGTTTGTTAATCTCGGCCACTAGCTCGCTGGCATCCATGAGTTCATGCTGCCCATCGTTGAGGTGGTTGAGCACATTGTCAAAGTCATCTTCCTCGTAGTTCTCAGGAATTTCCTCCATGGCCGGCAGCCACTTGGACGAAGGCTGCACACTGGAGTGCGGGCCCAGGGCCGGTCCAGAGCTGTTGGTGGGATTTTGAAAGTGTGTAGTGGCTGCCCAGGCAGCGACCCCTTGTGGGTAGCCCATGGTTTTGGCGGCCAAGGGCGCCTTCCGGCGTTCCAGTGAGTTGGACCGGTCCCCCTCACTGCTCTCGGCGTAGGTGTCCAGGGAAGGGGGCAGGAGGCGCTGGAACACGGTGCTCATTTCCGAGAGCAGAGAGGAGGTGCCGCTATCCCCAGTGTCCTCGTCGTTTGGGGAGTCCTTCCCGAAGGTCGAAAAACTCTTCTTTTTCTCGCCGGCATCTGCAGGCTGGATATCATCCTCCAGACTTTGATGCGGGTGGGAGTGCTGGGGTTGGGCTGGGAATTCTTCCCCCGGAATGAACATGTTACTCCTGTAATCGGAAGAGGGCGAGGGCAGAGGCGGCATCCAGCACTGGTCCGAGTGTCCCAGGACTCTGCACTCCTCCGTGCAAAGCCTCATAGCTGCAGTCAAGAAAGGCAACGGAGACTCGTGATCAGACTTAACAGAGAGCAACATTAAGGGGGACAAACGCAATCTTCCTTTTTAACAATGTACATGGAGAGAGGTTGAAAACATGATCGGATTTGATTCCATTGCTAGGCATATGAGATAGGTAACAATAAGAGTTCATTTGGATGCCGATTTTATGCAACTCCACAAGTTATTTCTACTCGCTCTCCCCGCCCCCACCCTTTGTTTATAGAATTAGGATAGCTGTTAACAACTCACCTTCTTCTCAGGAGTCTCAGAATTGCTACTTGAGTCAAGAGAAATGGATTGATAATTTATACATGAGAAGAATAGAAAAAGAACTAGAGTATGGATGATGAAATAAATACAGAACAAAACTATTTTTTAAAATGTGCTAGGAGGTGAAACCCATTATTTAGGATTTAATCAGGCAACCCTTGGATAATAATATCTTTGAGTAACTTTTTCAGTCTAGAAATCTATCAGTACCACTTTATTTTAACAGAAACATTGAAAATGCAATCAACTATTAGGTGATTATAATTACTAAAATTCTAAAAGGTCTCAACTCACAGCCCACTCTTAGAGATCCTCTCCGGCAGAGGAGAACAGCCCCTGCAGGGGTCGAAGACCATAACTCTTTACAGGAGTGGAAGCCCTCACCATTCTCTTCTGAAGGGCCTGGCAGCTTTGAACTGCTGACCTTGCAGGGAGCAGCCCAGCACCTGTAGCCCGCCATGCTACCAGGGCTCCAGCTCTTCAAAGTTCTCTAGGTATTTGTTTGTTTTTTATTTAAAATACAGAAATAAGACTTCTAAGAATCCTGAACTAAGGATATTGGGTGACTGCACTGACCCTGTTAAGAGGTTTGCATTTACAGGTTTGAAATATATTTATATTTAAATACTCAGAAACATTCACCAGAAGATGAAGCACATGAAAACTCTTTTGGTGAATTTTACAGACGTGATGGTGCATTCTTGGATTTTGAATAGTCACACTCATAAAACAGACAATATGATGAAGGAAGAAAAGGTAAGAGGAAAACAAAAACCAACTCTAAATTTGCCAATATCCAGGAAATGTAAAAATGTATACTCCACAAATCATCTATCTCTTTCAGTAAGAGCTGTCATGAATATCCTGATTTCATTTAAGGGTCAGCTCATAATGTAGAAAATGCAGAGTCATTCACTTAGATTGAAAGCAAACTGGATTGAGATAAGCAACACATTCAAATGCAGAGCTAATTCTGGGTGTCTGCTAGTTCTGAAAGATTCTACCCTGCACCACTGCCCTCCACCCCAAATGATTACTTAAACAATTAATTAATGACCCTGGAGAGTGTCAACTTCCTTTCCCCAGGAATCAAGTTGTCCACTGTGTTTATTGCTGTATCTCCAGCACTTTGTAACCTACCTGCATAGAACAGATACTCATTGTATATTTTCTAAATAAAAACTAAGGGCATTAGCATGGACTGTCAGAAAAGGAGAGAAAAGTGATTTTTGTTTAAAATGATAGAAGTCATTGCCTTTTCTGGATTGACCCTTAGAGATAATTCCGTTCTTATGTATACTCAATTGTGGATCTCATTTCCCACAATTGAAGAGAGTCATTTGAGCAAAAACCATTTTCAGTAACATTTAAAGTGTTTGACATCTAGGAAGCCTAGAAATGGGAAGTCATGTACAACACAAACATGTGCGGATCACTGTCATTGTGGAATTCTATGAAGAACAATGAAGTAAACATGTATCATGTTAAGAATGAAAACACTTTCAGATGTGCTGATTTGAGATGAGACATCACTACTACTTAGAAAATATTTACCAATTATTCTTCCTTATTATGTCCCGGGGAGTTGAAAGTAATTGGAATACCTTAATAGCAATTAGGGTTTGTTTGTTTGTTTCCTTTTAATCACTGAAATAGCTATCAGTTACAATGAATTCTTTGGTCCTCCTTTCCTGGGTTTCTGAAATTGGAAAAGAGGCCCGTCTGCTGTCTTACTCACATCCTGTCTGAAGGAAGCAGGATTGATGACAACTGGTCTTCTTTTTGGGGGCATGGGGGTGGGGTGGTGCTTTTGTGGTTTTAGACTCCTGATGAAATTCTGTGCATGGTGGCTTAGTTTTATTTTAAAGTCGGGTGGTAAAAGAAAAGGAGGATATAAGCCTGCAGTTCTAGTAATCCTGAGTATGATAAACATTCCTAAAGACCTAAATATAATGATCATAAAAGCAACAGTACAGTCAGTGTGACTTTAACAGACAGTTCCTGCTCAAAAATGTAATTTTGGTCCAAGGAATTTATAAAACAAAATATTAGTTTACACTCTCATCACAATGAAAAATACAGAGCATTCAAGTTAACACGAGAAGCTAACTTTGAATGAAAAATGAAACAGTGATGGAGAAAGGAAAAGCTGGGAAAAGGACGGTGAAAGCAACAAAGTGACAGTAAGGAAACGTAGTGGCACAGAAGAAGATATTCCTCTAAATTCCATGGCTATTTTTTAACCTGCTGCTCAATATTCAACCATCTGAGTACATTTCAGTCCCTATGTTAACTCAGGTCTGCAGTGCTTCCACGCAGTCTCTGAGGGATCAGAGCCTGTGGCCAAACAGTGCAAGTGGCTAATGTTATTGTAGCTTCTTTGAAAGCTTTGAAGGTGGGTATTTTCTCTAGGATATGATAATAGAGAAATGACTCTTATTTGCTACTATGTGACTATATAATTCTGTCACTGTACAATACTTTACAGGTAAGGCAGACAACAAAACATCAACTATACAAAGTCAAAAAAAACATAACCTTAGCGTCAACCAGGTCATCAAATGGCATAGTTTGCATTGAACTACTAACCTACAAATGAGTGATTTAAACCCACCAGTAATGTAATCGTTTCCATACAGATTACAGCCAACAAACGTTACTGATCCCTTCTTTCTACACCATATGGGTGGCCATGAGTTCGAATGGACTCTAGGACAATTGACATCGTCTCCATCAAGTTGTTGGCAATTGGGGTGAATGAGCAATGATCTATTAAGAACCCACCATCACAAAAGATTTTCTGTGATGATCCTGGGAACTTAAGTGATTTAAGATTTAGTTCAGAGGGAAGTAAGATGTCCTTCTGGCACAGAGGGGTAAGCTGTGGACGACCAGCAGAAAGGTCAGTCATTTGAACCCAACAGTCTTTCCATGGAAGAAAGATGAGGCCGACTGATTGTATAAAAATGTACAGCCTCAGAAACCCAAGGAACAATTCTAATGGATGATATAGGGTCAGAATCAACAGAATGCCAGGGAATTTGGTTTGGGTTTTCAGAGGCCAGTGTAACAAATGAGTTCATAAATGGTCAATTAAAGTTCCAAGGTATCTGGTGCTGAGGGCATTTCAAAGATAAAGAGTCATGGTGGGGGCTCAAGTAGCCAAAGAAGAAGCATGGAACCAAGCTTGAGAGCTGATACGTGAAAAGGAAGCCAGTTTTAGACAGAGAAAGGGTAGCATGAGCAAAGGCTTGGCTCATTCCAGGAAGAGCTGTCACTGCCTACAGCAGAAGATACAAAAGTTGAGATTTAATAAACTAGGAGTGTATTTCACTCGCTACTGAATGCCAAAGTCATTTAATTTGTTGTTGTTGGACCGACAAAGGCCACTTCATGATTTTGAGTCCGAAAATCTAAATCAGGACATTTTGTAAAAGTTTCTTGAGAAGGAGACGGGACACAATATCTGTGGAGGGCGTTAGGGAGAGGCAACCGTAGGAGAAAGAAAAGTGCCAATGAGAACCGAGGAAACAGATTTTAAAAGGAATGTTTGAAGTGAGTCTTAACAGATGTAGATCAATAAAATGTAAAATGGCCTCAATTGATGAAAAGCATTCTCATAAGAAACAAATAAAAAGTTGTTATGAATCACCTTGGGGCAAGGAACACTTTTCAAAATAAACAATTTTCCTGGCATGTGTGTAGCATTGTAGTTCAGAGTTGAATGAGTAATGAAGGAACTATGTTGACAAACATAAGCCAACAGATGAAAATGAACACTGATTTTCTTGCTTAGAAGGCAACATATTTGTGTGGGAATTAATAGAATCAATGACCACAAATGACCCTGCTGGCAGGCAATGCAACACAGCCTAATCTATATTTAACTTCAGACTATGCAGAAAATCAGTTGGAATAGTGCTGTATGTCCTAAAAATATGCACATTTTAGGAAACTCTGATTTCTGTTAATGACATTTGTGTGGACTAACATTTTTTTCTCTACTTAAGATATTTCCTGGGAATATAAGATTATGTAGTGCAAGTTTTATTCTTCAATGTGCCTACATAAGTTGTCAGGGCTAATGATAACTGAGAACATGTGTAAAAGTAATGTTCCTCAGAATGAGCATACTTAAAGGTTGGACATCCCTAGGTGGTACAAACCATCGATACGCTCAGCTGCTAAGTGAAATGTTGGAGGTTCAAGTCCAAGGAGAGGTACATGAAGAGAAAGATATGATGCACTACTCCAAAAATAATTACCCTTTGAAAACATTAAGGAAGACCATTCTATTTTGATACACATGACAGTCACTATGAGTCAACTTTGGTGGTCAACACCACAGATGTGCAATATAAACAGTTCAGTCTGTGTCAGAGAAGTAGTGCTTCTAAATAATGTGCAAAATATGTGATGAATTGCTGGTGATTTCCTGGTGCCTTATGCCTTTGTAATAGCCCCACTATACCCCATGTGGAGGCAGATAGTGAGTGTGAAAAATACCTATTGTAGTGTGAAAATGTATTTGTTGTAATATAATATGCTATCAGTCAATACATTGGTGGCAAAAGAATGCCCCGCCACACATAGGGATAAAGAGTACAAGTCCATTTCTTTAAATATTTACAGACTTGGAGACTCTACGGGGCTTCCACACTGTCTTATTGGATCACTATGAGTTGGAATCAACTCAACGGTGGCAGCTTTGATTGGGGAGGGTTACCTGTTATTTCCCTAATATCATTATTTCTGACCTGATTTTCCTACAGAAGGTGTTAGACACCACTTCTACTGAGAACATATCTGATTATGGAAGCTTTCAAATTATAGGAAAGTGTAAAAGAAGAGTCTTGATCTTCAAAAAGTTAGATTTGTGATTTGCTATTAGAATTATGGACGGTGAGAATTACAAAGGATTGTTAGCATCATTTGGTCTCATAAAAGGCAAAGTTTTCTAATTTGGGACACTGATTCTCTGTACAAGTATATTTAATGGATTAAAATTTCAATGAATGGACTTCATACATTTAAAAATATTTTTTAAGGCAAATTTTCCATCATGTTCAGGAGAAAGGGAAGCAAAAAATGATTCACATGATTTTGCTTTCTTGTTTTATAAAATAACATAATTTAAGAAATTGTGTTACTGAATAGAGAGATCAATATTCAAGATAAATGTTTCCCTCATAGAATCACATATACTAGTTAGCTCCTCCATACAAATGTAGGAGCAGGAAGATCTAGTAGAGCAAGCTGACTGATAAAATGTAGATCATATTGAATACATATCCCATTAAAGAGATTTCTCTTTAACGAGTCATCTAAGAAATTAAAAGAGAGAAATCGTGCACGCAAATACACAAGGATAGCTTCTCATTTATATTTTAGTTCTTACTGCCATGCAGGTCCTTCCTAAATAGTTCCCTATCCAATATGCATTATTTATTATTGTAATAACATAATTAAATAAATAAATGCCTAGCTACAGAGTAACTCTACCAAAAATGCAAAAAATTAAAACAAAACCAGTTCAATGCCATCAGTCAATGCTGATTCATAATGACATCGATGGGTTTCTGACACTAGAACTGTTGAAGGGAATAGAAAACCCTGTCATTCTCCCATGGAGCTACAGGTGGTTCCGAACACCCGACCGCGCGGATCATAGTGCAACTTGTAACGACGATGCCGTCAAGGCTTCTAGGGTGACCACAAGCCTTTAGATTATAACAACAGATACGTCATTCAACTTACTTTTAAGTAATCAAACTTGTTATTTCATAACTCTATAAACGGATATTTAAGAGTTCGGGTACTAGTTCAGATCATAGCTCTACCATGTACAAAGTGCCACATGTCAGCGGACACTCAGGCAATGTAGGTAGAGAACTCAGCATGAGCCCAAGCCCAGTGTAAGCACTCTGGACTTGCTGATGAACACTAGTGCTATGGCTACTACTGTAACTAAAACTGCTGCTGTCATGGCCATTGCCACGTCTACACTTTACAAGAGTTAGTGTTACTATGTATTGATTCCTCTTGAATTACCTTGCATTGTAGAGGGCCTGTCATGTCTATTGCATAAGCATCTCTTCTCTGTACTTAGAAAACAAGTACTTTATGGAACTTGGGCAAGTCATATAGTGGCATTCATAGTTCTTTTCCTCATTTGACCAGTATTTGGTGGAAATGAAAACTTTTTAGTAGCCAAGGTACTCCTGTGTGTCCATGGGGGTCGATGTAATGCTCAGTAACCCTGTAGTAACAGGGATGCTACACTCAGGCATTCAGTATTTACCAAGGTTCTATTGCATAATTAGAGAGAAAAGACTTTAAGGAAAACATGGTTCCAAGTTTGCTACAATCTCTGCCATATAGCTGTGTACTTTGTAAATTTTCCTCCTGAGATCTTGCTCCTTTTCCACTATAGAACAGCTGTAAAATGAAATGTGAAAAAAAAAAAAGTCCTTCTCTGTTTACCCCCTACAAAGCTGCATTTTTCTCCTATTTTTAGTGCCTAAAGTGCACTGTGTCTTGTGTATTTTAATCTCTAATTTTGTGAGTGGATTTCCATCTCAGGAAATGTGTCCTCCAAATTATAGTGCAGTTCACCACCGTGCACCAAAACAAGTGGTTGGAACAAAAGCCACCACCCAGTAATCTTTGGGAGAGTTGCTCAGTGCTCTATGGAAGTATTCCATTGAAAGGAGAGGGGAGGGGAGGGGCTTTCCCTTCTCTCTCCATCTTTCCTCCTCGAGCTCTCAGGCTTACTCCTTGTCCAAGGACTGCTTCGTGTGAGCTGGAAGAATGTGATGTTCTGCATATCAGTTTATGGTTGTTGCTAATAGTGCCCAAATGACAAATACTTCTGTGCAGATGACAAGGAAAAAGATAAGGAGACAAAAAAAACATTCACTTCCTTGATGCAGTCTTATTGAAAGATAAATAGATGTGAGTCACGCCTCTCTTACCTGCTGGAATTCTCCCATCTGTGAGGAAGAGGTCGCTGAATCCTTCACCCAGAAGTCTGTCTATAGGAGAATCTCGCCCCAAATCATAATCACTGTCTCCTGCTTCGCTGTCACCACGGCCACTGTCTTTTAAGCTAAATTTGTCCATGTCTTGAAGGGCATACCTAGAAAGGTAAATCGGACAGCGCTTGCACTCGTCACCATTCATGTTATTTCAGATGTAATCGTCCACACCAGAATAAGCCATACCTGTAGCTCCTGGAGTATTTGTTTCCTCGAAAGCTCGGCCGCGGCTGATATTGGCCCTGGTGAAGCATGGAAAGAAGCTGGGAGACCTGCGGGAAACCAGAGACATGATTCTGATTCCTGGGAACAAGCCTTCAAACCTCACAAGCTTCAGGCAGAGAGAAACAGACACTTTCATTTTGTTCTACACAGTCGAACCAGTTGTCGTAAGGACTGGCATATGCTAGTCTGTGGCAAAGTAGATCGTCACCAAATGGAGCTGGCATATATCCCATGAGGGCGCATGCTTGAAAGTACCAGATAATTAACTCAATCCTCATAAAACAAGAGAGTATGAAACTTGAGAGAATTGCATGAGCTAATACAACTGACTCTTTTGAAAAAAGGATTCTCTCTCTGTCTCTCTCTCTCTCTCTCTTTTTAACCACTGATGGGTTTCCTCTATTTGGCAGTTGACTTTAAAGTGATAATTATGAGGATGCATCAAATATGCTGTTTGATATAACATGCATGTAAAACAGTATCAGAAATTTTTCAACATTGGAACAGCTGTAACATGCACTAAGATGGGGTCCTGGAGGCCTTTTCTTGTGTGTGTAAAAATCCTTCAGTAGAAATCATAACTATGAGAATACAGCCAGCCCCTTTGCTTGTTTGGTGTACACGAACTTCACCTGAGATGTAAGTGGATGCTGATTACAGATTCCCTTTGGATCCCCATTTGAACCTTTTATTTTTCTATGGTATGCATGGGACATGCAAGTGAATTACTTAAGAAAACCTGAAAACAGTATGCTGTGTACAAAGGGGTTTCAAAAAGTCTATGGAAAAGAATGGAATGGAAAGATAATGGAATTTTTCCTGGGCCTTTTTGAAGCCCCTCATCTCTACTTGCTGCAAACACACAGTTTGCATCATATTTCTTTTTCTATGCTCCTTGTAATGCTACCTACATATGACAATCTTTATCTAACACACACATATTTTCTAAGCATTAAGAGCTGATTTTGTTAGTGAACTGATGCAGTTATGATCTTACCTCAACAGCAGGGGTGGCATGGGTGAGTTCCAATGAGAAATTCTCTGGCACGTGGTTTGATGAGATTGTCACCAAACTATTGAGGGACTGGTGGCTGTTGTGACTGCCCATTTGCCCTCTCTCTAGGGTAGGAGATGAAGATGGAGACGCTCTGTGATGAGACCTGATAGGGAGTGTCCCATTTACTGTAGGTACCAATGTAATGTCACCTTTGTGAATCTGCCTGGACGGCCTTTTGGGGTGATGCTGATAAGTTGATTCTGCAACCCTGCAATTGTAGGATCTAGTGTCTTTCTTTTCCCGGTTACACCTGGTGGCAAACAGCACCATGATAACCAACAGTACTGCACAGATTGCTCCTAGAGAAATAATGATAATCATGGAGACATCCAAAGACGCCTGGCTTACTGAGGTCATTGCTGTACTTGTCACCGACTCCGCATACTCGACGATCATGCACTTTAGGAGGACTTTGGTATGCAGCTGAGGACTGCCTTTGTCCTGGATGATCACTGCAAGTTCCCATTCTGTATAAGGGATGGAGTCCATGCTCACGTTGGAATGGATGTCACATGATCGTGGATCAATTACAAAGATATCCTCCTCATTTCCTGATACTATGAAACAGCTGAGTTCAGCATTTAGACCCGAATCTCTGTCAATTGCCCGTATCCTTGTGACATGAGAGCCACTTTCTGCCCCTTTGGGGATGGAGATCTCTGCAGTGTGATTACGTAGCACAGGTTCTATAACCAAGGGGGCATTGTCATTTTCATCAATGATGGTGACCACAACTGTGGTGTTGCTTACAAGTTGCTTTGGACTCCCTCCATCTCTTGCTTCAACCACAAAAGAGAGCTGATTCACTTCCTCGTGATCAAAGCTTTGGAGGGCATAGATGGCTCCATTGGATGGGTCAATGGTTACATAAGAAGTTATGGGCTTGCCCAGGATGAAACTCTCCAAAATGGTATAAGTCACATGCCCATTTTCTCCTTGATCAGGATCTGTGGCTGCAACAGTGGTGATGTATGCTCCCGGTAAGTTATTCTCAGAAATGACAAATTCATAACGGCTTCTCTGGAAGTGGGGTGGATTGTCATTTATATCATTGATTTGAACAGTAAAATGCTTTACTGTAGAGAGACTGGGTGTTCCCTTGTCCTCGGCAATTACAGTCAAACTGTATTCGGATCTCTTTTCTCTATCCAGCGTTGCATTAGTCAAGATTAAATAATTGTTTTCATAAGTCTTCTGAAGTTTAAAGTGACCATGCCCATGGAGTTTACAAAGTACTTCTCCATTCAGCCCAGAATCTTTGTCCTGAACCTTGACCAAAGCAACAAACTTGTTAATAGGATCCCCTTCAAAAATATAAGAGATTTCTTCTTTGTCAGGAGACATCAGGTTGATGTCAATTTCAGGTTTATTGTCATTAACATCTACAACCTCAATTATAATTTTGCAATGAGCCGGGATAGAATTCGGACCCAAGTCTTGAGCCTGAACATCAATCTCATACGACTTGATGATTTCATAATCCACTTGCTTGAAAAGAGTCAAATGTCCTCTTTCTGAATCAATTTTGAAAGTCTCCATAATTTGGGGAGCCACATGGCTGCTGAAAGAATAGACAATTTTCCCATTAGCGCCCTCATCTGGATCCGTGGCATTCAGATCGACGAGCAAAGTGCCAACTGGAGAGTTTTCTAAGAGTTGTATTATATAAGACTGCTGCTCAAAAGCAGGGCTGTTGTCATTGGAATCAGAAATGCTTATTTTGAGGATGGACGAGCCAGACCTCTGAGGCACCCCCATGTCGGAGGCAGTGAGCTGAAGCTCATAGCTGGACTTCAGCTCCCGATCCAGCTCTCGGACTACAATGAGTTCTGCATACTTGGCTCCGTCAGTCCTGGTCCGTACCTCAATACTGAAGAAATCATTATCAGAGAGGGAGTAGGTGTGGAGGGAATTCTCCCCAACATCTGGATCGGAGGCACTATCCAGCGGGATCCGCGTGCCAACCGCTGCACTCTCAGATATCTCAATAGGTATGAGGGCTCTCGAAAACTGCGGCGAATTGTCATTAATATCCAGCACTTCCACTTCAATATGGAACAGTTGCAGATGCTCGGTGGGTAGGGTGATCACATCAAACTCTATGGAGCAGTTCAAGTTTTTCTGGCATAGTTTTTCCCGGTCAATGACAGTCCCTATGCTGATTTCCCCAGTACCTTCATCCACGTTGAGGTGAGGAAATTTCCCCCTTTGCATGGTTCGAAACCGAACAGTGGAAGGATTGGGCAGCTTAAATAAAACATCGGCCACATCCTCGGATAGTCTTGCAATGACTGATCCAGAGCTCTGTTCCTCATAAATCCTGTATTTCAAATTCTTGCCCAGTACACCGCCGCTGAAAACCACCATCCAGAGTGCACACGCAAGCATAAAGTGCATCTTAGCATTCATTTGGCGCATCAGTCAGTTTACCACACTCTCCTCCCCAGCCAGTTAACACAGCAAAGCAATCCTCTCAACTTCCTCCGGCCGCTTACAGCTAGCTACATTCCGTCCAGGCCACTTGAACGCGTCTCTTAAGAACATAGCACCGGAATGAACAGCTCGCAAACTTTTGCTTAATACACACCGCGTCTCGAGTCCAGATAGGATCGGCATGGAGTCCAATCCCGGGATTTGTGCGATGGTGCCTCCTTTCCCCTCCCGGCAGCAGCGTTGTCTGTCTGTCCCCTCGGCGTGCTCCCTCTGGCCGAGTTGGAAGCCCTCGATCGCAGGGTGGCCGCGGAGGGAGGCTGCCGGGTGGCTTTGGCCGCGCGGTCCTCTCCGCGGTCCTCGGCGCGGCTGCAGACGCGACAGCCGGGATGGCAGACTCGGGTCGGAGATCCGCACAACTTCACTTCAACTCAGACAAAGCTGCGGCCCGGCGGGGGTTGAATCGCCGCCAGCCAATCAGCGCCCTTCCGAATCAAAAGCTGATGGAGTCACCGAGGCGAGGGAGGGCTCAACGGGAGGGTGGGAGAGGGAGAGGGAAGGACGGGGAGGGGGAGGAGGGGAGGAGGAAGAGGAGGAGGAGGCAGGCGAGGGGGCAGGGAGGGCTGGGGGCGCGCGAGCGAGAGCCGGGAGAAAGACCGCCGGGGCGGAGGAAGGAGGATGCGAGCCGCTCCGTGGGGCTCCTCCCTTCCTCCTCCCCACTCTCCCTCCTCCTTTCGGTCTCCCGCGTTCCCTTGCTCCGAACGTGCCCCGACCAAGGGGGGACCGATCGCAGAAGACAAACTTTAAATCAACTTCTGCTCGCCTTTTTCTCCATGGCACTTTAAATGGTGCCTGTTTGCCTAATTGCCCTTTCTTCTGCCACAAGCATGCAATTATCTTGTTTTCATCGTCTTTAAATACTGGGTTCCCTTAAAATACCTCTAAGTGCATTTTGTTGGTGGAGGAATTTAATACAATTTGAAAAGTTGCTTCTAATTATGCTCCGCAGACCGCCTCCTTCCCCTCCCCCGCGGTAAATAAGGGGCCTTGTGGGCTCCGGTGAGCACTAGAAGGTTTTCTTGGGCTCGGTTATACCATCAGGGCAAGGAAAGACGTCTCGTTTTCTGGTTTTCTTCTTTTTATCTTTGTTCTTTGGAGATGAGCAAGGCACTGTTTTACATTCCTGATTTCTCCTCACTAGCCAGGTTGAAAGGAACACCTCAGGCTTTAGAGTTAATTAAAGATGTCGCACAGCACTCCTTGCCCTGTTTGGGTGCAATTGGTTAGAACCATTGTATTCTCTTGTAGTTTGGGGGGGGGGGGGGGGGGGAATCAAATGTAACTTGGGGAAGAGACATTTCTTGCTCTGGCCTGCCAGTGTCGACCAAAAGGTACCACCATCAGTGCTGGTGAGTCACCACAACGAATATTGAGGGGACCCGGACCAAGCAGTTTATAGTCAAAGCCTTTCTGTATAATGTAGGTGTTATTTATGGAAACAGTTTTTCTTCCCAGATAGGTATTTTAAAAGCCCAAAGCTTGTTTACATTAAAGGATAAAATGCCTGAGCTGAAAATTGCATTTTGTGTGCATCAAAATGTTAGGTGATATCAGGGGAGGCTAGGCTCTATCCAGGTCACAGAAACTGATATGGTATTCTTCTTTGAAAATATGATTATTTATGATGCTCTTTCGGCTCTGCAATTCCTTTTAAGTTTATCATTGTGGCTCCAATCTTGCTGCTTTATCAGTCAGCTGTTTTCATTCACTTGCATATTTGCTGTTTCACGTCTAATCTCACTGTCACTTTTCCCCATAATTTTCAATTCCTCTCACTGTTTTGTCACCCCCACCCCCCCCACACACACACATGTATGTGTGTGAGTGATTTTTCTACTTTGCTGACTCTCAGCAGAGCTCTGCTAAAGTCCCTAAGAAGGTTCCTTCCAAAAGAGAAAGCAAAGGAGTGTCAGCATGAAAGCTTCTTTTGGGGCATTCAAAAGCATGTTATAAGCCATTGTCTTCCCCACCACCCCCTCCACAAACCAGTGCTGAGTGGCAAAGTGTGCAGAATGGAAAGGCCTATAATGAATGTATTTAGTACTGGGTCACGCTGATGAACATTCTGCCCCCTTGAATAATACTGTTTTACAACTTTGTAGCCCTTTCAAATTGCTGATCCCCAAACCCTATAGGCAAACTAGGGAAACCACCACAAGCCACTGGGACTTTAGAAACCCATAGCCATCTGGCCTAGCTCTCTAACCATCTGAGCCAAGAATTATACTAATGCAGGCTTTAGTGGACCCCTTTGCACACTCCAAAAGAGCAAAGACAGGAATTAGAGACTATTCAAAGTTGGGGTGAGGCTTCAAAGGTAATCTGATTCCATTAGTTCTAGAAGAGTTCCTCCGTGAATCTGATGTCCATCCCCCACTCTCCAAGAACAATGGATGTGATGATCTTAATTTAGAGGACTTGCGTTGGAATTGACTTGAGGACAGCGATTGAGAAATAAAATAATGAAAAGAAAATCTTTCCTTTATGCTCAACAGTGGACTTAAAGTGAATTAACCATCACGATAAAAATTTTTGGTTTATCTTACTGAAATATTTAAAATAGGCTGTGAGCTGAAATAAAAATGAAGTATATTTATAAAACTTATGGATTTTAAAGCACTTGGAAACTACTTGGTGGATAATGGTGTTTTTCATTCACAGTATCATCCTTATCAAATAACTGTTTCATTTTCAGTTTGCCATGAGAAATGATATGTGCCTATTGGCACAGTTGGTTAGGTGTTAATGTGCTAACATAAGGTCAGCAGTTCAAACCCATCAACTGCTGTGTGGGAGAAAGTTGAAAACGAACAATCGTCACTGTCCTATAGGGTACTTATGAATCAGGTTGCACTCAGAGGCTGTAGGTGAGTTTTGTTGTTGTTTTTTAGTATTCAATAGCTTTTGCTTTTGAATTTTGCTGACTATGTATACTATACATACTTTAGTGTTTGTACCTTTGAAAAATAGTTTTTGAATATACAGTAGTTTTTATTCATTTCAGTGTTTTGAAATTGTATTATTTGGTAGTCCAGCAAAGAAAAATTAAAAACAAACAAACAAAGAACTAAGAAAACAATAAAATAGCTATTATCCCAAACCAAACCCATGCCATAGAGTCAATCCAAATCATAGCAACCCTATCATCCAGCACCATAGCTGTTTATTAATAGGTTTGCGTGAGGAGGGAAAATCTGGCACAGTTCTTTTAGTTGTCACCTAATGGTGATTTAATTGAACTTTCTAAATCTCGTGGCATTTCCCCAAATTATGAAGTGGTAGACCCCTAAAACATCTTTTCAGATATCCAGTGATGAAGAGATAGTGACAGATTCTGTAAAGCCCATGCACCTTTGACATGCCCATCTTTGTTTATAAAGAAGGAGGTAGTCTCACCTTTTGTAGACACTGGCATAGATAAGTGGTGTTAAACCTTTGACCAATTGACTCTGAGATGTGTGGTAGAAGACTTTGGGGTAATACTGTCATATTGTGCATGACACGGGAGCTGACCCCTAGGTTATCTGGGGAGAAAGATGTGACTGTCACTAGGGAGAAAGATGTGACTGCTTGCCAAAAGATTCACCTCTTTGGAAATCATAAGGGCACTTCTACGCTGTCTTATGGGTCACCACAAATAAGAATGATCACTAATAGCAACAGGATAAGTCACAATCAGCTTGACAGTAAGGGTGGGGTATGATGGTCTTGAACGATCGATCCTTTACCTATCACCTGAACCAAACCATAGAAGCATATCTAATGTGAGAGTCAAAGTATGTGTTCTTTGATACATATCTAATACTTGCCAGGATACATATCCAATACTTGTCCAAAAAATTTAAGCTAAACATTATTTAATATAATGTCACATTCTAATATCAAAGCAAAGGGACATCACTTGCTGCAAAATCTTGGCAATGATAAGGAGATATAAACCTAGTCAAATAAGAGTGACATTAAAATAACACCATTTGACCTTTCATCAGTCATGTTACCTCCTTCTATATTGTTGTTTCCCTGTATGCCTTGTACTTATCTATTCAAGAGCATAATAAAAAAATCACTGAGCAATATGAACCCTATATTAAATATGTTTATCAACATAAGATCAGGGGCTGGGAAATGACAATGTATTGCAAACTATTTAGACTTATACAAGAGGGAAAATAGATTTTCGTATAACTCTGTTCAAAACTGAAGGGGCCCAGCATATGAAAATGGCATACAAAAGCAGGAGGCTTCTTGGGTGGGGGTCGAGGGAATTGATTCCATAAACTATAGTGACAGTTCCTTGGTAAATGTTGTCTGAGTGGGCAATCAGTATTTGCAATGCCCTGCCACAGGTAGTGTAGCGTGTCAAGTTCTGACAAGTGACTTAGAGTCTGGCAACAGATAATCTGAACTCCTGATGAGAGGCATGTAGGTTAAACACTGTGCGATTGTTAGGCGTTCAGGCCTTCAAAGTCAGGCAGGTTATAGATTCAGTGAAACGGGGAGAGCAAGACATGCACTTAAAGATCATCCGGGATTTTGAACATAGGCACATCCTAAAAAGTTCATCAATACTTGAGACTATAATCACAAGATTACACTAGAGAGCAGCAAGTTTGATTTTAGGATTGATCATATGAGCTATTTGTTGTTATTGGTAAGACTGATAACGCTTTGAGTCTAAGCCAAAAGCAGGCTCACTGCCACTGAGTCAATTCAGACTCATCGTGACCCTATAGGGCAGAGTAGAACTGCCCCTGGGGGTTTCTAAGACAGTAAATCCAGGACCAGTGGTGTGAGGGGCGAAACAGGGAGGGTAAAGGGAGAATGGGTAGGAAAGAGGGAACCGATTACAAGGACCTGTGTGTGACCTCCTCCCTCGGGGACAGACAACCAAAAAGTGGGTGAAGGGAGACGTCGG